GTCTTACCCTCAGCTAACTTATTTGCTCATAAGTATCCCACCCACATACAGCTTAGTTTGCAACTTTACTCATCATCTTAAATAGATCTATAGTCAAGAAGTAGTTGGTCTGTAAAATGATGCAATGCCAAAAAACTATTTCTACAATAAGTTTAATAGCATTGCCTCACTGACATCCCTATATAATATTGCATGTACAGCAACATTTCTGTTTTGCAAAGGCTGCAAAAGATATGACGCGTTGGATCATTTACATGTTCTTGGTACAAGTGAACAAAAATGCGCTGGGGACAGTTTGACAAGCTAAAGCAGGTAGACTATATGCGGATGATGTAATGTCAAGATTAGGCGTGTGTGTGTGAGCAAGCCAGGGATATCGCAGGGGGGAGGGTGGATGGGGGGGGTGATGCACAGTGCTGACGTCCATCTCCCGCCGACAAAAGGCCGAAATCTCGGAAGGGTGAGAATTCCGGCCTGTCTGCCCGACGTCAAAGGGGCTCGCTGGCAGCTAATCAGCAGGCGGTTTTTCGTCGGCGAGTGGCACAGTATGCGTGTATCCAGTGGCGCATGGCGTCTGTGCTTTTCAGAAGATGGCTGCCTCACTCTCTTCTGGCCTAGCCTGCATGTCCTTAGACTTAGGTTGCTTTCCCCGTTCCAGATGGGACTGTCTGAGTCAGCCTGACGGCCCCCTCACCCACACTCCTCCAGCACACGTGACTCACCATCCCAGAAACCAAAGGATGGTAGGATGGTGTCCCGGGCCCTGCCCCCTCGGCCCCCTCTCCTGCTTCTCTGCACCCTGTGTATCTCTGTTTCTCTCTGCCGGGATTCTGGTACCAGGACTGGGGGCACGTCGTGCACTTTGAATGGGCTCCGGCTCCCGTCAGCTCCTTCTGCTTCGGATGCATGGGGGAGCAGATTCGCCACGGTGTCAGACGGCTTCATAAGGCCGCCTTTGATGCCTGGACCTCGCCAAGCCTCATCTGCCCGGTTAGGAGGCATCGAGGCCGGGCCCCTCTCCAACCCCACCCAGACATTTGGATTGCTGCGATATGAGTGAGGCATCATCGCGGCCCCTGACTGGAGACATACAGACCCCGGGACAGACCTCTGATCTGACTTCTTAGCATCGGCTCCTGTTTTTGGAACACTTATATAACATGTTATATAATGAGTTACACGCATATCTTCCACTTTGTGGAGGAATTCCACCATGTATGCACATTTGCTAATTTAAATTTCTAGTTTTTATATATACCCTTGCCAGGGTTTCCATAAGAAGCAGTACCCTAAGGTTAAAATAAAATAAATGTTCCTTATCATACAGGAAAACATGGACAATTAATTTTAAAACAGACATTTTGGTTAGACCCATTTTTTTCTAGACACTACAATAGAAAGCAGTCTGTTCTTCTCAAATGACAAGAACGTTTATATGCCTCGAATTAACATATTCTATAGAACTGGAGGAGACATACTTACAATTGAGCAAATGGCTCTTGGTTTTAATCATTCCTGAGAGCGACTAGGAAAGTCCCATTTAATCACTTCCAGCTCACCTGATGATGGGAATTACAGCGTGTTTCTGGGTGCCCCGTGAAAAGGCGCAAGTCTCCTCAGCACCACCAGGGGTCAGAGTTAAACCTTGTGGAGTCGAAACAGATTCAAAACAGATAATGTGTGCTGTTTCGGGTTTAATGCGGACTGTTTCCAGCTCGCCTGCAGTTTCAGTAGTTCCACCCACTTAGAATGGCTATCAGTCACATCACAAAAGGTATAATTCTCATTGTTCATTTAAAAAGAGAGCAGCAGGTAGCATGATAGCAGAGCGGGCAGCAGGACACAGTTTTAGGTGTTTTATTTTGTACACAAAGACAGATGAAAGCAGATAATTATTTATGTTTATTCAAATTTGAAGCCACACCTGAGAAAAAAGAAAGTTGCTGGTTCAAATCGCAAGAGATGAGTCTTTCTTCTTGAGTTAGACTACTAAATGACATATCTCAGTTATGAGGATTTTGATATTAACCAGGGACACACTGTGGAAGGACTGCAGCAATTTCCAACATGATAGTTCCTTTAACTTGTCACTGTGCTACTACTGTGCCATTTATATCTCAGCTGGATCCAGTGGCCGATCAGGCCAGTACATCATGGTTTTTAATGAAATAAAAAAAAAACAGAATAGGACAGATTCCTACCATAGAATCAGACCATTTTATAGGAAACCAATAGAGATCTTATACTGCGAGTTTTCTGGGTCCTGCAGATGGATGTGAAACGAGAAATGATTTCCATAAAGACAGGACAGATACATACAGCCTCTAGCATCCTACTGGCTGTGGGATAATGAAAGAAACAGGATGTCTGTGTACCGCCGGGCCTGTGCTGGGGCGCCGGGTGAAATTCTTCAGCTAGCTTGGCGATCCCACTCCTCCACGGTCCACGGTGACGTCACATGCGCAGCATGTCTTTTTGTAGTCGTAGGTGCTTGCCTAAATGAAGGTCTTTAGCAAGGCGGCTGATCAGGGGAGGTGAGGAGAGGCTTGTGGGCCGTGAGATGCAAATGGCGCGTGCCGATCTGCACTGGCATATTATACAACCCCGGGAAAGTGTGGGGGGGGGGGGAATTAAAACCAGCATCAGCCCCCCATTCCACTGACATACACAGAGAACATCCCGCAGAGATAAAAAGGAATATGATGTGAACACAAAACTGGCTCTGAATAATCGGTCCACCGGCGTTCAAACTCCCCAGCAGAGGAAACACCTGACAGGCACGTGGGATGAGGGAATAAGTGAAGCCCCGCCCCAATGCCGCGTCCTGCCAGTGACTCTAATGGAGTTTTCTTCCTTCTTTTTCGCCATTAACGGAAGTCGACATGCTGTTTGCAGGCCTTATAATTTCCCTGTGCTGTGACAAAGCTTTGATGTATTCCCCCACACACCCCCGTTTGACAGAACGCTGTTCAGTTCAAAGCCAAGAACAGAGGCGATTCCCCACTTTTAAATTATTAGCTCTCTAAGTCATCTGTAATAATATAGTTTGACTGAAGTGTGCGGTTTATTAACTACATAAAGACGATATTATTAGAGCAGGGAAAGGAAATCGGCAGCTTCGTCTTTCAGCTTAGCAGCGGGAGTTTCTGCCGCTTTGATCCGAATCACTGCTAAATGTCTTTGCGAGATAGTGGGAGCTGCTGAAACCAGCGCTGGGACCAGAGACCAGAGACACATCAATTATTAACTTTCCTCTGCCTTCCTTTCCTTCACTCTTTCGCTTTCATAAATTAAAGCATTATTCATCTCTCTTTTGATTTCTCCTTCAGCCTCCGAGCCGCTCCCCCCCCCAGCATTGTCCACGGTGTCCTTTTTATCCACTCAGTCGCATGGCCTGCAAGTCACTGGCAGGAGTCTCCTCAAGGTCAAATGCGGAGGAGCCTCACCTCCAACTGAGCCCCTAAGTGTCTGCTCTCTCCCACTAATGGAGCCCAAGTACAATAGCCAAGCGAAAACCAGACATAATGACATTTTCATTATGTACCAGTCACTGTCTCGCTCCCTAAGCCTGACAGTGACTGTCATGCTTTCGTTTTTGATCCACCATTTTCAAAATATTATTTGCATCCAGGGCAGGTAAACAGTCTATGATTATGGAGGAAACACCACTAGGTCATATAGCTACCGATGCATTAATATGCTTTATCTTCTGTCCCTTTGAAGATCAGATTCCCAGGCGTCCCCGAGAGGAACGGCGACACACCGAGTTTGATGTAATTCTAATGTCAGCCACACAGTGGCGCTGTTTCCCTCGTGCTAAAAGACGAGTCTCTTGGGAGTGAGCTGACGGGCATAAAATCTCCCCTAAGACTGCATTTATTCTAAGTGGGAGGCACGCGCTGGGATTGATAATGAAAACCCCGGTGCTCCTACTTCACATTTTGCAAATCCCCTGGCATAGTTTTTTTTTTTTTTGTAGAAGAAATAAATCCTCACGGAAGATCAATCACAGTTGCTTTGGGGGCTGATTGTGTGGAAAGGTGCCAGGTTAATAAAAGGAACAAACTGAACTTCTCTCATTTTTTTTTTTTCCCCATTTTTTTTTGGGGGGGGGAGGGGGGGAATACTGCAATGTGATCCAGAAGCCTTTTAATTAAGGGAGTAAAGTATTACAGATTCATAAATACTGCGTATGTATGTCACTGGTTCTCGACTTACTTCAGGATCAACATTTTTTCCCTGGTCATTAAGTCACAACCCAAAAGTTGTCGATGCTAAAATTTGTCTACCACACACCACGACCTACTTACAATGGTCTCATGACCCACCCGTTGAGAAACACTGCTCAGAGTAGCTAACGGATATAATACATCACCTCGTACCGCATGGGTGTTGATTAGTTCTGACCATGGTTTCCTCAGCTTATGTAAGGCTGTGACAACATCACATTTACATAAATACAAAATGTTATAAGACCTGTAGCAATGGACCTGATGTGAAGTCACACATAAATTTGACAAGCAGAAGCTCTAGCCAGTGTTAAGCACACTGAAAGGTAATGCTCGTTTGTGTATGCTGGATACCATTTCTGTCACGCAACAACTCTTGGAGATGCACAAATGTCACCCTCTATTCTTTACCAGAAGGTCCATTTATTCTGATACACCCTGAAGGTCCACAGTGGACCAAGGCTGTCTTAAACCAAATGACACTAACTTTGGGGCCCTCCTGGGTTAGCGAAAGGTTGCGATTGTTTTGCAGCATAAAAGAAAGAAAAAAAAGTTGAAATGAAACTATTCTTGAACTGTCTCTACTCAGTGAAAAGGAAGATCGTCAGACACAAATAAGGCTCTACACAGACCACAGGTGCCAGGAGGACTTAAAATAGCACCACCGGTTGGGGAAAAGGTGGGCACGCTCTGTCGCTTCACTCCTCACACAACGGAGGGAAAATATGATGAGGCTTTGCGTCAGACAAATGACAACGGCACACTTGAAGGTCTTTTGTTGTGGTTGCCGACAGCTCCCCTCACGTTGATTCGAGGCACGCTTCTTTAACTAAACAGGAAATGGGATGTGGCACTTGAGATGCCTTATACTGTAGCACAAGAGCAGGGTGAGGGTTCAGCTAGGTGTTCGCAAGATCTAAAGACAGATGAACAAAAAAATAAGGAAGACAAGTGCCTGAGGACCACGACTGGATCACGTCTGGAAAGGTCCTGTTCACTCTGCTGCCGAAGTATGACCATCTGGTGCGAGGGATTCTCTAGCACTGAGCGGCGCATGGCGGCTGCGTTCATGTGATTCTGTTTCGGCTACGTCTGCGAGCAGCCAGTTAAGGGGCCTGCAAGGCTGGTGTCTCGGCATGCCTGTGATCCTGGGGGAAGTCAGGGTGCTCACCAAGCCCCTGTCTGGCGTGCGTATCCTCGAGCTGCTCTTCGACTGCCTCGCCTTCAGCTTGGCTGCTTCCTTAGAGCCCCGGTCGTCATTCAAGAACTTCTGCATGTTCAGCTGGTGCTTCTTCTTCACGCTCACCTTCCTCATCCTCCTGGTGGACTTCGTTCAGTTCCAGAGCATCATCCCTCTATCATGGAAGAACCTTCCCATCACCGTGGCATCCCTGGGGGCGCTCATGTGCATCGGCTCGTCTGCGGGGTTCCCCTTGTTCATGCAGGAGGACAGGATGGAGCCAAAGGCCATTGGGGCCACGGTGTGCTCCTGCCTGGCCTTCATGGCGTACGTCTCAGAGGTCCACCTCATCCGGCTCCAGAGCAGTGAGCAGAAGGGCTACATGGCCAGCATGCCAGGGCTGCTCAAAGTCTTCCAGGTGTTCAGCGGCTGTGCCATGATCTTCCTGTTCAGCAGCCAATGTCAAATGCCGGACTTCGCGAAGGAGACCAGCTGGCTGTTTTGGTTCTCAGCTGCAAATAAACTGCTCTGCTTCCTCATGTCCCTGGGCACCATGCTGGTCGTGCTGGGAGACTGCGTCAGCCACTGCCCCCTGCCCTTTGACCGCTTGCTGGTGAGCTTCTGCAGCCTAGCCGTGCTGCTGTACATCATCGTCGCCGTGGAGTGCATCACTAAGATCCTGGTAATGCCGGCAGAATCAGTCGAGCTCACTGACCCAACTAGAGCCCTGCCCTTCATCGAGACGATTACTGCCTGTCTCACCCTCTTGGCTTACACGGTGGATCTGGCGTTCTCCGTAAAACTTTTGTGTGACCGTGCCTAACTCAGGGGCATTGGAGGGGCATGGATACCCAGACATACTCAGGGGGCACAGAACTTGACAAGGGTTCTTGAATACATAAAAATATGCGTGACATTTGGCGGGGGGGGGGGGGCAAGGAGACATTTTATCAGGGAGCCCAAATTTTCCAGGTATGCCCCCAGCCTAACTACATGCAGAGGGGAAATGCGTTGTGAGCTTTTAGTTAAAACACAAATGAAAGAAGGACACGTAAATGATAACTGGAAAGAAAAGATGTTTTAGCGTTTAGTTGGCATACTACCATTTTTTTTGTCTACAGTGAAACATTGATAGGCTACAGTGTAAACAAAACCTGTTTTAATACATTAAGAGATGTACTTTTAGATTTATTTACATATTTCATCTATTAAAATGTACCTTTCTTTTTAGTTCGAGTTCCGGAATTCACTGAGCTTTGCTTAATCTTCTAGCCACTTGATGTTTTGTTCTGCTATATTCTGTTTGTCTAGCACTGAAAGTATTTTCAGTGTGACAAAATAATGATGGTATTGTACTTTATGAAATAGATTTTGTTAAAAGACTTCTAATAGGTATTTTGTATTTAAATTTCAGGATATGCTTCTTATGGTCAAGGCCATAGGAGAGAGTTTGATATTGGGGGACACACTGGTTCCTATGCCCCTGAATATGTTGGCTGACAGACAATGAGATTAGTTTAACTTGATTGCGTTCTTTTTTTTTGTTTGTTTGTTTGTTTTTTGGTAACAACGCGTTTTTGTAACAAAGCTTGTTAATCGGCCAGCATCACACAAAAGTTTCTGTTCACTCTGCGGAAAAACTCCCATTTGTCAGACACGCCTCAGTGAATGTCAGAGCTGCTAGCCGAGTCATTTCACACCGTGCTCTCTGCAGTCTCCCACATGTGCATATGTGCCGCGTACAGTTTCCTGTGAGGGCGGCTTGAGCAAAAACTTTTTCTATTAATTTGCATATTGCAATAATAAAACGATTAGACCTGAGCAATGATGCATGTTTGATGCAATTATATTGAAACCCAATGGAACCCCACTAAGAGTGTTAACTAAAAGCCAAGTATTCATTATTAGGATTGTTGAATACGATTGTCATGTTTACTGGAGACTATTACCGCTAGCCTCCACTAGAGGGAGGTAATTTTGTTTGTGTCTCTGAGCAGCGCGAAAATCTCTTTTAAATAATAAAACGAAGCCTGTTCTTAGATGGCAGCTCTACTCATTTCTTAGGTGTGATCCCATCCTGCCCAGAATGATCCCATCCTGCCCAGTTCATCACCTCTCAGTTTCTTCTATTACCATAACAATGGAAAATCTCCATTGTATTGGAAGCTAAAGTAATTTACACCTTGTGTTTTAATGAGCAGCTTAACTAATGAAGCCAAATAATGGTAGATATACAATGTCAGGATTCAAGTCAATGGCCATCTGGTGTGAAACAGCTGGGATGTTCTGTAACTTGTTGAAGTTAAATCCCAATGTTTAATCTAAAGATTCTTCACTCTAAAATTTTCACATATCCACCTATCTAATTACTTAAAGCTGATGGAGATATGGATAAACAACGAAGACCTCCTGGGTGTGGTCTTTCTGACTGAACTTCAGCACCAATACCCAGCAAAAAGCTTCCATCTTCCATCCCACCAGCAACCAAAGAGCCACTTGACTGGCCCAAGTGTCATTTATAAATAGTAATGTTTCCAGTTAGTAGTGAAGGAACCGGGGGTGAGCACCAGGGGCCACCAGCAAAATTTACCGAGGGACTCCACTACCGGCAGATTTTACGGAGTGTCCCTTTTGATAACAAACAATCACAACAATTCGCAACAATTTACCGAGAACTGGCCCCTTCGTGAGATGGTAGATTTAACTGAGTGCGCCTTTTGACACACAATTACCCATTCAACACATGGCTAAAAATGGCTGATAGTTTTCAAAGTAACTGAGGCATGACAGACAAATACAGGTGTTTGTCACAACAATTTACAGAGAATTTCCAGGTACAAACAAAAAGGGTACACAATAATATGTTGGGTGGTGATTGTTTTATTTTATTTTTGTGACTATATTTCATTTTTGAAGCTAATAATACTATGAATTGTCCAATTTGTTCAATACAACTTCGAAGAAAATAAATCTGACACTGGGTAAAAATAGTAAAATGTTTGTCTAGCATCGATTATTACCTCAAATGTAGACAAGATGATACCCACCAGTGGGTATGTCCCCATCAATAAAATAAAAATATGCTGGCTTTTAAAGCGACACCACTATAAAAACACAAGAATTTCTGTGCAATTCTTAAGAATGTCCGGATGGCAGTTAGCTGGAGACACGGTATTCAGTATTTGGTGGTCGACATACACTCACCGAAAGGATTATTAGCAACACCTGTTCAATTTCTCATTAATGCAATTATCTAATCAACCAATCACATGGCAGTTGCTTCAATGCATTTAGGGGTGTGGTCCTGGTCAATACAATCTCCTGAACTCCAAACTGAATGTCAGAATGGGAAAGAAAGGTGATTTAAGCAATTTTGAGCGTGGCATGGTTGTTGGTGCCAGACGGGCCGGTCTGAGTATTTCACAATCTGCTCAGTTACTGGGATACCACTCATCTCCACTACAAATAGGAAAAAGAGGCTACAATTTGCACGAGCTCACCAAAATTGGACAGTTGAAGACTGGAAAAATGTTGCCTGGTCTGATGAGTCTCGATTTCTGTTGAGACATTCAAATGGTAGAGTCAGAATTTGGCGTAAACAGAATGAGAACATGGATCCATCATGCCTTGTTACCACTGTGCAGGCTGGTGGTGGTGGTGTAATGGTGTGGGGGATGTTTTCTTGGCACACTTTAGGCCCCTTAGTGCCAATAGGGCATCGTTTAAATGCCACGGCCTACCTGAGCATTGTTTCTGACCATGTCCATCCCTTTATGACCACCATGTACCCATCCTCTGATGGCTACTTCCAGCAGGATAATGCACCATGTCACAAAGCTCGAATCATTTCAAATTGGTTTCTTGAACATGACAATGAGTTCACTGTACTAAAATGGCCCCCACAGTCACCAGATCTCAACCCAATATAGCATCTTTGGGATGTGGTGGAACGGGAGCTTTGTGCCCTGGATGTGCATCCCACAAATCTCCATCAACTGCAAGATGCTATCCTATCAATATGGGCCAACATTTCTAAAGAATGCTTTCAGCACCTTGTTGAATCAATGCCACGTAGAATTAAGGCAGTTCTGAAGGCAAAAGTGGGTCAAACACCGTATTAGTATGGTGTTCCTAATAATCCTTTAGGTGAGTGTACACACGTACGTGATGTGCATTGTGTTATTTGATGCAGAATCTTACACAGCATCGCCAGTTTAGAATGGCTTCCACTTAGCTAATAAACCCTAACTAATCTTACACCTAGATATATAATTTCACGATCTCCTACTCACCAAATAAACCCTAACTCATCTTACATCTAGATATCTAATTTCACAATCTTGGTGGTGAACTGTTTCAGCAACCTGGGTTCTCCGTGTGCACCTTTCCAAGATTCAAACTGCACCGCGGCCCAAACACCGGAGGGGGCGCTCGATTCTTGTTCCGGTTAGAAAGGAGATTCGCGGAGAGATTCTCGCTTTCACAATAAAAGTCTTTTCATGAAACCTTTACATCAGTTGTGCTTATTGTTGGAATCATGTTCAAATAAAGTGCCATGTGGGCCAGTTATTACAAACCGTTAAGTCTGATATGGTGATACGCCACATCATCTTTCATGCGTTTGAATCCATAACAGGCAATTAAATTGAGAGGCGTGGGGACATTAACAACGGGCGTCTGAACATGGGCTACTAATAATATAATATTTTCTACAAATCCATGTCAAACACACAGATCATAAAATATCCTGTAATACCGGAATACTCTAAAAGCCTCCTTCCATTAGTCGACGCCGACTTATAAGGTTTTTTGCATGTCCATTTTAAAACGAGCGGCGCAACAGCCGAACGGTGCAGGTGAGTCACTCGAGCTTTAAATAACGTTCGTCGGTCCGTAACATTTTAATCAATCTCCGAGCTGATGGGCTTCCATCCGTTATCACCGTCCTACTTCGATTGCTTATGCCTTGAAGGAATGAATCCAATGTTGTGTTTTTTTTTCTTCCTCATTCAGGAACTGCTCGCCTAGCGCTGGCAGCAGTCTGTCAACAGGCTGAGCAGGAGAGCGGAGGCTGGTGTAGACGCGTCTCTACAGCGGGCAGCCGAGCCCAGCCGAGACGAGCCGTGACCCGGCCGCAGCCGGACGCCAGTTAGCCGGAGACACGGTAACGAACGCCCGGGCTAGCCAGGTGGTGCGCTGTATTTTCGGGGCAGCCGGTTAGCTTCAGCTGGGTGTCTTTAGCAGCCGCGTCGTAAAGCGGCTCCCCAGTCGCTTAGCTCCGAGGCTAATTGAGATGTGAGTGACATTTAACCGCGAGTGGGGCAAACATTAGCGGGCTGTCGCTGGGAAGTGCTGGAGGCTGGTTAGAATCTCAGTTTCGGTGTCCAGCTGAGGTGTTGCGGTTTAATCCCCCCAGCCCTTTATCAATCGATAGGCAGGTCTCTGCGCTGAAGTGCACTTAAATCAGCACAGGTTGACTGCAGCGCACAGCCCAGGCCGTCGCTGAAATACAGCTCCATCGCGTCCCCCTTACTCACCTTTTCCTCGTTTTATTTACGTTTTCACGCTGTCCCCCCGCCCCTGATGTTGTCCCCCTCGTACGACACA